GTTTTATTTAAAGGCTTTATGGATAGGCTTGATTATCTAGACCAGTGTTGGTTGAGTATCGAGACGACTGGATGCCGTGTTGTGTATCGTCGCTTCATTCAAGCCAAGTCTGTTTAAACGTGTATACCAGATGAGCGGAGCTGTACGCGTCTACCTTTGGAATTATTCAGTGCGGGAAGCATGTCTGGCCGTTTATTTGCAAGTATACTCATGAGAACCTTTTTTATTTATTATGCCATGGCTTTATTTTGTTAAATCCATTCATAGATTATTGGTAGATGAGTTGCGCCTCTTCTACAGTACGAATGGTACCCATATTGCGTGGGTTAATTGTTTAATAAATTATTGTTATTTCAAATTGTTTTGTACATTGTACTTTGTTCAGTTGTCTAACCCGCAGGCACATAAAAGGCAGTTTCCACTAGACTTTCGTGACAATTTATATAATTGTATATACCCATTAATTTATAGATTTGCATAAATTGTACCATACATTAAAATTTTAATTCAGCTTGTGCTGCTATTTTTAAAATTTTATGTGAATGAATAAAAGATAGCGACAAATTCATATTGTAAGTTGTTCTCCCAATTGTATAATTTAACTTTATTGTATACTTGTAATACATCGTATTCTGCTGTATTTTAAACATTTTAAATAATATTAATTCAAATTTTTAGCAGAATTTGCTTTATACAGAAATCAGATTTGGTGCAGAGGAAAATGGCGTATATAAATAAAACAAGTGTTTGTCTTAAACATTATTGATAATACACGGCTTTCGGCCGGAACACTTTAAATGAATCATTCATTCAGTACACGACCATGTTATTTAATCAATTATCAACCAATCAATTGATTTATCTGTCAACCAATCAAAACACATGTTCACTATGTTGATAAACTTAAATACGAACTTAAAGTGATCACTTAAAGTGATTTATAATTATTTATTAACGTTCCGACATTTAGTTTAATCTGTCCGACTTCCCCATTGGTGGCTTAAGAAGAGTGGCCAAACTTCGTCGCACACGGTGTAGCATAACGTCATCATCATTCGCGACAAATCTGTCCGACTTCCCCATTGGTGGCCTAAGAAGAGTGGCCAAACTTCGTCGCACACGGTGTAGCATAACATCATCATCATTCGCGACAAATCTGTCCGACTTCCCCATTGGTGGCCTAAGAAGAGTGGCCAAACTTCGTCTCACACGGTGTAGCATAACATCATCATCATTCGCGACAAATCTGTCCGACTTCCCCATTGGTGGCTTAAGAAGAGTGGCCAAACTTCGTCGCACACGGTGTAGCATAACATCATCATCATTCGCGACAACCTGTAGTGTAAAATAAACATAATGATTGTATTCCAGGTAATAACTATACCTATATAATATACCTAAATATACCTAACCTATATATATAGGTATTATTGTTATGATTATACTTTGAATTATTATCGTACAAAATTCATGTGATAATGTAATTGAAATGAAATTCACCTAAGAACAATTAGCTGAGTTACACATTCAACTAAAGAAAATAATAACATGTATAGGCCTATATAGCTGTAAAAGCAATTTTGCATTTATTATACAATTTGTTTATATAATTTTATTATAATTACAGTATATATTTATTATAGAATTTAATGTAGAAACAATGAAGAATAGTATGGGCACGTATGGGAATCAATTGTCCCCCTCTCCCTTTTCACCAATCTTATATACCGTACTATTCAAAGCGAATAGAAAGAGCAAAAACAATTACGAATGACTTTCATGAATTTTTTCTGTTCACTTGTGTTCTGTTCCAATCGTGTGGTGCTATTTCCGGACCAAAACCGAGTAAAAAGAAAATTTGTTAGTAAATTTTGTAACCATCTCAGTAACCAATCCATCGATTTTGTGGGTACAACGGCTGAGACAATAAACTATGCATTGAAATAGAGTTTACCTTCAAAATTATATCTCTAAATGATAAACTATACAATATCTCACTTTAGAATCTGCATCTTCCCTTTCATTGGCTCCATTATGTTGAGCGGATGAGATATGTACTTCACAAGTTGTAATCAGGAGTAATAATATACAGAGAGATGCAAGAGACTTCCTTCCGATATTTGTCATCTCTGTACGTGTGTTTGTTGTGCCGATATGTTCTAAGTGGAAAGAAAACTAGAATAATGGTCATAATACTTTATTTCTTTTTTGCATTAAGTTCTTTCATTATACTCGAATTTTATTAATATATATTTGATTTAATTACGATTTTCGGCTTGTATGTTTTTGAATGCACCACTCGGAAATGAGTGAGTGCCACTGATTCTAAAGTGATTCCTAAATATCAAATAGTTGTTAAAGATATAAAAGATACCAAGACATGGAAATTGACAAAAGTGCCGGGCGGAAAAATCCAGTGAAAAAACAGATAGGAAAAACGATATAGAAGGGGAAAAAACAGATCAGAAACAATGGCTTTTTCCGGCTCCTTCTATGAAAAGCCCATAATGTGAAACACGTTACTGTATTCGAGTTTATGTTATAGTAATAATGAAAATAATATTTATAACTAAAAAAAAAAACGTAATAATGAAAATAATACTTATAACTAAAAAAAAAAACTGAATTAAAAACTGACCCGTTTAATCTTCGTTGAGGTATGATCTTTTCGTTGTTCTTGATTGGTGCACTGTTAGGCGATATGTTTTAACCTGGTCGGTTTGACCTTTTATACCATGCACAACGAAGCCGAACAATAAGCTAACACGTGAAAAAATTGATTTTAAATATTGATATGAATTAAAAACTGACCCGTTTAATCTTCGTTGAGGTATGATCTTTTCGTTGTTCTTGATTGGTGCACTGTAAGGCAATATGTTTTAACCTGGTCGGTTTGACCTTTTATACCATGCACAACGAAGCCGAACAATAAGCTAACACGTGAAAAAATTGATTTTAAATATTGATATGATTTAATATGGTAATCGTTAAACTGTGAAGCACTGACGCGTGTCAACCATTCTCATCTTTACATATTAAGCACTTTTAGTTGTACGTGTGAGACAAAACAGCTAGGGCACAGGAAGAAACTTTCACTGATAAAAATGGTCAATACTACCTCAGCCCCGCCATTTATGATTACAACACTTCTAAATCAGTGGCGTAACTAGAGGTCCAGAAAATGGGGTGCTGATGGGGGCGCGAGGGTACGATACTCACAAAATAAGGTGATTTTTTACTACTTGCAAGTGATATTTGCGGGGGGGGGGCATTAGCAATTTTTGGAGGGGTGTGCTCCCCTTCCAACCGCACCCCGTGATACACCACTGCACTAAATGGCCGGAACTGGCACTCGCAGACTTAAAATTAAATATTTGGGCCCCCCCCCCAGGAAGGGATTTTCACAGACAGAGGGTCGATTCACTCACCTCAGCCCAACTATGGTTGAGGCTGAGGCAAGAATGTTTATGATTGGTACCTTTCTAGATGGCCGGAAATGGCACACTTAGACTTAAATTTTTATAATAATAATAATAATAATAATAATCAATATTTATATAGCGCCTAATGTTAATAACCTCTAGGCGCTTAACAACAACAAAGCAGCGTTGCAGGATATGGTGACAATAGTCTTTTTATCATTTCCATTATGTTTTTGACTTTTAAAGATTTGGGGTTGGGGGTGCCTATTCCCCCTTGAATCCGCCAGTGATAACAACTAAACGCAGATGTTAAGCAATTCGTATAATATCGTATTTTTCCCTTAATAATGACCAACTCAAGCAATTCGTATATTATTTTATGTGAAATGCTGTGTACTTTGGAAGTCGTAGAAAAATATATTGATGTTCTATGATTAATGGTCTGTAAGCCTTGTAAATTCTTTGAGATCTCTTCCCCTTCTTTCCAAGTCCCAAAACAAGTTGAAAATGGCTTTCTTTCCTAGACATAGTATTGTAACTAAATCAATGGACAGGTCCACCCACACTCTGTTTATAGAAATAGGCCTACATACAGTTTTTGTTCATTTACCTACTAAAATACTGTAGGCCTATCCGCACATCTTGATTGAAAAATGGATCAGATTTTATAAAGATATGAAAGCAACAGGCGTGTGTGCATTTGTTTCACTGAAAATTAATTGCGTATCTACTAGGGGAGCGCAGGGGACACGTTTCCTAATTACCTCGTCTCCTAATTACCT